GTTCTGGGATTTGGAGAAAAATAGCTAAGACCAGCCAATAAGCACTTCGACATCCCTTCATGACTTAACAGAGTCTTTTGTAAAACATGTACTATGGGAAATACGGCAGAGCCACACAAGAAGACTCCCAAAGCACATGTTACAGCTTGGCTTCTATTGAGTCAATCCTGCTGCCCCAGGTCTCTAAAGTTTATCTCCCATAATCCTGCCCTGCTCATCTTTGTCAACCAGAGTCACTGCCCTGGGTACCAAATGCTTTCCTCTTTGATGTCCTGCTCTCCTGCCTCCCCTATCCACAAGAATCCCACCCCAACTCGCTCCCTTTTGCTTTCCTTGATATTCCCCTTTATGACGAGTTTCCATCTCCCATAACTTCATTCATTCATTGGACATTTGCCATGCTCCTTGAAGTTACGGATTATCTTTCTTGCTTGTGTTTGTATTCTCCACTTTATACAATGCAGGACATATAATGTAGTGAGAACTCAATAAATGCATTTTGATTCTTTGATTCATTGATTTCTTGATGGAAGCAAAGCACTATGCTCTCCACTGGAGGAAGAATACCAAAGTGAGATGAAGTTGTTTCCTGCCTTCCTAAAACTCCTTGTACCCCCTGGCATTGAGTAAAGCCTAGCTTCCTCTCTATGGAAATCACATCTCTTGGCATCCTCTTCAGTGCTGGAAGCTTCTTCTTTTAAGCCCTTATGTCCTCCCCTTCCCCCACCCTCCACAGCCCCTTAGGAAAAGGAAACAGAATGGTTCAACTCCTAACCTTTGTTCCGCCATTATCAAGAAATAACCTGTTCCTCTCCCGATGAGGAGCATTAGCATCAGATTATAAGGTATTCCCCCAATTCTTGCTGCTGCAATCTACTGACCTCAGGGATTGTAAATTTCTCGAAGATAGGGACTATCTTTTGCGACTTTTGTTGTCCCCAGCACATAGCACGATGCCTGGCACACAAAAGGTGCTTAATAAATGTTTACTGATTGATTGACATCTACATTGTTCAAGGACTTTAGGTTCCCAATCATCCTTTCCATTCTGTCTTCATACTCAGATATCCATGTTGATGACCCTCTCTATCTTGGCCTCTCAATTACTTAACATTGCCCATTTCTATGACTCCCACCTCAGTGCCCTGAAGTGGACAGAGCACTGGACTCAGGAATACCTGGGCATGAGTCCTGTCCCAGACACTTACTAGCTAATGTGATTCTAGCAGACAAACCATGGGATTTCTCTAGGCCTCAATTTCCTCATTTGGAAAATGAGGGGGTTGGACTAGGCGGTCTTTAGCTTCTCTTCTATTTTAGAACTATGTTCTATGTTCATAGATACTGTGTTTCCAACATGCTTAGCCTTGGATGGCAACCACTGACTGCCTTCTCTATGCCTATTCCTGAGATTCCTGGAACTGTGGAAGGAAATCAAGACATTCTGTTGGCTACCTGCACTAAAAATGATTGTTATCTAACTTTAACTAGGCTCTCAGTGCCTCAAAGGAAGTATTTTATTCCTCTCTATCTGATTCTCTATGGCATTCACCACAGCACCCATTCAAAACCCACTTTTGTTGTCCTCTCTCTAAGTAGATGGCCTTGCTATCATACTTTGCTAAGCCTATTGAGGATGACATGGAACTCTCTTGGCTCCCGTGCTTTATACCTTAGAACCTCTATGTGCCTTCGCCTAGTCTCTCTGACTTTCCTTCTGGTCTCAGAGTATGATACGGCCCTTTTCTTTTCCAAGAATAATCCCTGTCCTTGCATTCTGGATCCCATCCAATATCATCTCCCCCGAAACTTGGCTCCATGGATCACCCCTACACTCCCATATTTCACCTTTACCTCTCCTGCTAGATTCTTCTACTCTGGCTTCAAACATGGTCAAATCTCATATCCTAAATAAAAATGAAAACCTCTGCCATGTTCCCAATCTCCTGACCTTATCACCCCCTCAAACTATTATACTCTCTCTCTCCTCCACTTTACTGCCAACCTTTCAGAAAAAAAAGTAATCTGTTCTCACCATTTTCCCTTTTTATTCACTCATCAATTCCCTCTAATCTGACTTCCATCCCCAATAGTCTACTAAAACTAATCGCCTTCCCTGTGATCATCAGTCCCTTTTATTTGCAAAGCCAATGGCTTCTCCTTAGACCTCATTCTCCTTGATATTTCTGCAAGATTTTACACTGTGGATTTTCCCTGCTTCAACTCCACCCCACCTGGATTCTTTGTCTTCTCTCAGCATCCATGGTACAATGTCTCCCCTGTTCACTTTCAGCCTCTCGGACCATGACTTCATGGTTTCCGTTCATGGCTTTTCCTTTCTCCTCCCCCTCCTAAGATATCTTTTACTTTCTTCTCTTTTTTCTCATTGCTTCCGCTGAATATACTTATTTGCTCCCATAACTTCAATTATCACATTTATGTGGACGGCTCCCAAAGCTATCCTGTCAAGCCCAGAACTCTCCAGACCTTTCCCCTGAGCCCCAATTTTGCTTGGATATCTCACTGATACCAGTCTCAACTTGCCCCCAAATGAACTAACCATTCCCCAACCCCTGCCAAATCTTGGCCTACTTTTCCCAATTTCCATATTTCTCTTTATGACTACTATTCTCCTAGTCATTCAGATCTGAAATGTGGAAGTTATTTTTGACTCTCTCCCTACCTCATTTCCCCTTCCACTCCTTACCTTCTGTCCAAACAGTTGCCAACTCTTGTCAGTTTTCCCTCCATTAATATCACTGGAATCCATGCTCTCCTTTCTATTCTTAATGCAAATGCAAGAATTCAGGCTCTCCTTCCTTCTTGCCTAGGCTAGCATAATAGCATTCTAACCAGTATTCCTGCTTCCCCCTTCTCCCTTCACCAATTCACCCATACCACTGTTGCTGAACTAATTTGTCTAAACAAGCATAGGGCCACCTTCAGTGACTCCTCATTGCCCAGCAAACAAGATACAAACCCCTTGGCTTACCTTGGAGAGTCTCCATAACCTAGCTTCAATTTATTTTTTCAACCTTTTGTGGGCTCTGTACTCCAACAAAATGGGATTCTTCTCCACTGCTAGCTATGTGCCAAGCATATAGTGATAGAAAAAGGGAAATAGTCTCCATTCTCTAGGAGAGATTTAAGCTAGAACAGATCTTAAATGTCCTTTAATACAATTCTCTAATTTTGCAGATGGGAAAACAGAGGCCTAGGAGGTCAAATGATTTTAATAATACCTGGGATATAGAAGTTCTTAATAAATGCAAGGTGATTTATTGATATAACTGTGAATCAAAGAAAAACACAATCCTTCAATAACCAAAGTTTCAAATGGGTATAAGTAGGCTGCAGATTATTACCCATGATGACTTGCATGTAAGAAATGACATTTTTTTTTGAGTTGGAACTTTTGATTTTATTTGTGAATGAAGAACTCTCTGATGTGGAAAGTCCCTTGACTGATACTGTTTGGCAACTTGTGTGTAACTTATAATCTTGTCGTTCTGTCTGGGACCCTGCAAGGTTAAATGATTTGTCCACAGCACACATCAAAGACAGGACTTGAATGCAGGGCTTCCTGATTCCTAGGCCAGGTCTCTGTTCAATGCACCGTGCTGTCTCTTGGCATTGATGATACCATCCAGGAAATTGATGAGGGGTGTGCACCATGTAGAGATAACAAGGGATAGACAATGTGAGGGCTCTACTAGTATTGCCCAAAGGTCAAAAGACTCAGAGAAAGAGCTCCAGCACAGTGGGTGGGTTCTCTATGGATGAGGAAGTTGGATCCATTGGAAATTCTGATGGATTCAGAGTCAGAAGACCTGGATTTGAACCTTAGAACTGCCACTTACTATTTGTCTGATCTTGGACAAAGTCATTTAAACTCCTTGGGCCTCAGTTTCCTATTCTGTGAAATAAACCCTTCCAACTTCAAATCTTTAACTTTCTGAATTATGGAAGGAAATAGACAAAAATTACCAAGGATAAGGAGGCCTGGATGGGTTTTGTGACAAACACTGTCAGGAGTCATCCTTCACACCTGTACCTCCATGTTGAGATGAAGGATTCGTCAAAGGATTGGGATATCCAAAAGTACTGCTAGAAATTAAATCTTCTGCCCCTACTTTCTGGAGGTAGGGGGGAGGGGGGATTCTTTTCTAGAACAGTTTTTTTTTAAATACAAGTCAAGTCAACCTGGATTTATTATGTGTCTACTATATACTAGGCATGTAACTAAACATTGGAAACCTTAGCTCACTGAAGCCTTTGCTCATGGGGCTATTTATAACTCAAGCAACCAGATAAAACTGAGGCTGAAATAGAAGGTTATTTTACTACCTTCTTTTTTTAACCAGGAAGAAATCCTACTGGCAGAAAACATTCCCTTTGATTCAATAAGCAAACATCAGCTACATTAGTTTCTCTCCCTTCTCAATATCCCCAATGCCTCTATGGTCAAGAACAGAGTCAAAGAATTCTAATACCATGATGTTCAATAACTTTTTAGAAAATTGATTTATACCTTTAAAGGGAATGAAAACTGTACTATCCACCTGTCACATCCTAGCTTCCTCACTTGTGAATAAAAGAAAATGATGTATTGACTATAGTCTGAAGAGGGATGGGACATGAAACTCAAGTACAGGGAAAGAGCAGAGAGCTGAGAACACCAAAGGAAAAAGGATACTGCCTCTATTAAGAGCACATCTTTTCCTTTTAGCAATAGGAACTTGACATGTGAAATGATCATAAATGAATGTGAGTGTTTACCATATTCAGTTTGGGCTCATGCACACACATATATAGAAAAGCACACACATGTGGAATCATGTCAAGAATTTGATGAAGTCATACTGAGATCTTGAGAGATGCTTCACTAAATGGGATAGTATGAACAGAGTGAGCTGGGCTAATGTTACCAGAGAAAATAGTCTGTGCCTTATTGGGGGCAAAATACGAAAGCAACCATGGATTGGAGGGTAGGAGCTTACCGTTCCTGTCGTGCCCAAGGAAAGATGGTTCATCTGTTGCGTCAGGGGGCCCATCATGCTTGCTGGCTGCATTGACATAGTGTGGTCCATTGTTGGTGTTATCACAGCACCCTACAAACAGACATCATTGCCATCTCAAAACATGCTCCAAAAAACAGGGATAAATGGTGTTTCTTAAATACAAACAACATCAACTAAAAGCCTGTCATGTCAAATGTGTGTATATCCTACAGACAAGAAGAATAAAGGCATCAGTTATTTCCATTTCTAATGAGGCCATTTTGTGCCCATTCTAATTATACAGCTTCACTGACTTCATTGCTTCTGACAAAATAATACCCATGATTTGTATGTGGTGAGTGTGTAACTATATGGTGAAAGATGCTTGCCATTAGCATTTTCCGAACTCTATGGAATGGACTGCCTCACAGATACCGTATGTATCCCCTATAGGTTTCCTAGACATTTAAAACCTTCGGCACCTGAGAAACTTGGGCCCTGATGGCAATTATCTCAGCTTTCCTGCTATCGAACGAGGGTCATGAATTATGACATTTTCCCTGTGATTAAACTTGACTAGCTGTTGACAGTCACAACGTCAGCTCCCATTGAACAAAGAAGGCTAACATAAACATAGTCCTTCAGGAGGTTTCTTAGCTCAAGGACAGAAGTAAAAAGCAAAAGTAAAAGAAAAGAATTGGATAGCAGAGCCCCTGTCGTCTACTGGTCACTCCCTCCCATTCTTCAAACTTCTTCCCATGCTGTTGACTTGAGCAGACAAAAAGATGGAACTCTATTTGATGCTGTTCGATACTTGGGTGAGACAAATGTTACAGCAAGTCAATTGACCCTCATTCAAGTGCTTTGGACACTCAATTTCTAGCACATACCTTTTAGATAATTCCCCAGGCTACCTAGCACACATTTGGAAGGTACTCAATAAATACTCCCAGATTGAGGGATTCATCTGTCAATACTTGGCTACAAAGAACTGTGATTTCTTCAGTGAGGGTCCTTACCCCATGGATGCAGAGTGCAAACTTTCTTGGATTTTTTGTTTTTATTTTTGGTTGCTGTGATTGAAAAATTCATCAGCTCACAGCTGCCCTTCTGGTAATGAACATTTCTGAAATCAACTAGGCTGGTCCTTAGACCACAGACATGCAATCTGTTCCCTGGTCCATTCCTGAAGCATTTCCAGCTTGGAAATATTTTGTACTGGTCCTCATCCCCCAGACCTACAATGATCTCTATCCTCACTGCTACTTCTCAGAATCCATAGTTTTCTTTCAGCCTCAGCTCAAGCACCACCTTCTACATAAATTATTTCCTGATTCTTCAGCTGCTAACTCTCTCCTTAAATCATCTTTTATCTATTGTGTATACTTACACATGTATATATTGTCTTAACTCACTTTCCTCACTCCAGATCATTAGCTCAGCTTAATAAATGTTTATTGTCTGATTGATGCACTAAAAGTCTTTAGTGAAAGTGAAAGACTCATACATTTGTACATTGATAGAGTCAGACAAGGATGTTAGAGAGCGTTTAGAGCAATCACTACATTTCACAAGTAAAGAAGAAATTGAGGCATGTGTATAACTTCCTAAGTGTCGGTGTTATTCATGTATGTACTTCTTACTACATGGTCATACAAATAAATAACTTATTTTCCCACTTACTCTCCTCCTCTTCCACAAAAGAATATGGGCTTATTATCATACCACAATAAGCAATTTGGCAGTGAATAAGCCAGGACAGATAAGTGTGGGTGGCAGTTTCAAAACACAAAACAATTACCATAAGCAAATGTCTCCTGAAAAGCTTTTGCTTAAGACTGTGGTTTGTTACCATGTTTTCTATACCAAAGCCCCCTCCTTTGGCTGACACAGTCAGCTTCCCACTCTGCCTTTTCTTTACTTAAAAAAAAAAGTACAAATTCTCTCTCCCTCCCTCTCTCTCTCCTCTCTTTCTCTCCCTCCTTTTCTCTCTCTACCTCTTTCCCTTCCTTCTCCTTCTCCTCCTCCTTCTTTCAACCTCACTCTCTTTCTCTTCTCATCTCCATCTCTCTCCCCCACATACAGTCACACATGTATATACACATATAAATACACACATATGTGTGTGTATATATGTACATATAAAATTTTCCAAGTAAAGTTCTTTAAGTGCCTTTCCCTTAAAAATTTCCTTTGGGTGTGACATATATGTATAACTAACTAACTATACATACATACATACATACATACATACATACATACATATACCCATAATTCTCTCTCTCTCTCTCTCTCTCTCTGTGACATTGCTTGTAGGTGGCATGGAGAGATAAGATCTTAGATCTGGCCCATCTTTAAGGAGAGTAGGAAGTCTTGATAGTTCTAGTGACTTAATTGGGGCCACTGCTAAGCAAGTAGAACCCAGAAGCCATACTGGGCCATATTTCTTTCAGTATCTAGGAAGGGTATTGAGGTAGAATTATATTTATCTACCACCCCTCAAGTACCCACCTCTAGTCTGGGGTCAGAATGAAAGTTGCTTCCCTGGTTGCAGATGACAGGGAAGCCCTTAGCCTAGGCCCTTCCTACGAAACACTGTCTGTCCAAAGGACCAGCACAAATAGTTGGCATCTTTATCAAAGAAAACAGCAAACAAATCAGACAAGTTACGCATATTAAACTATAACAAAGAATACACAAGAATCAATGAGCTCTTCAACAGAGTATGAGATCAATCAAGGAGAGAGAGAGAGAGAGAGAGAGAGAGACAGAGACAGAGACAGAGACAGAGACAGAGACAGAGACAGAGACTTCTCTGAGGGGGAGTCTGCCCTCAGCAGACTCTAGGATTGCAGGCACCGGAGGTCAAGTGCTGTGTGTATGTGTGGGGTGGGGGGCGGCTGCCCTACATGCCTGTAACTCCAAGCTCCAGTCCAACATTGAAAAGTCTACTCTTTGCCTCTCCCTTGGTGGTCCTCTCTCAAAATATATGGCCAACCAACTGAAATCTTTTCTCTCTCTTTATGCAGCATCACGGGTCACCATTCTCTGAGTCAATAAAGAGTCACATCATCTTACACATAAGCAGAATATACATCATAGGGTTGTCCTTCAGAGGCAACCAAACCCATCTGGGAATGGGGCAACAGTGATACATTTTGTTCGGACACAAATGACACAGGTTAGGTAAACAAGCATTTATTAAGCACCTACCATGTACCAGGCATTGTGCTAAGTGCTGGGGATATAAAGAAAGGCAAAAAACAAAACAAAACGGTCTCTGTCCTTAAGGAGTTCACAGTCAAATAGGAGACACAATATATAAACAATTCTGTACAGGAAAAAAAAAACTATTTACTGGATAAATCTGAGATAATCATAGAGAGACGGCACTAGCATTAAAGGGGACTGGAAAAGTCTTTTTGCAAAAGTTGGGTTTTTATCTGAGATGAAATGACGGAAGTAAGGAAATAGAGAAGAGGAAGAGAAAATTCTTGGCTGTCAGATCTCCAGTGAAAATGGACCTCCACTCAGAAAATGAAACATCTTGTGCAAAGAAGTCATTGGATCACGTGTACCTGTAAAGAAGTACAAAGACTAGAAAGGTAAGAAGAGGCCAGGTTATGAAGTACTTTAAAAGCCAAACAGAGGATTGTAAATTTGAACCTGGAGATAATAGGAAGCCAATGGAGTTTATTTCACAGAGGAAGTAACGTGGTGAGACTAGTGTTTTAGGAAGAGCAAGTTCACAGCTGATGGACTGGAGTGAGGACAGTATTGAGGCAGAGAGACCAACCAGAAAACTACTAACAAGTAGAAATAAGGGTGGCAAAGTGGAGGCAGGATAAGAGGAGAGATGGAGATTTTTTATGAACCGTATTATAAAGATGGAATCGATAGGACTTGGAAATTGATACGATATGATATGGGGAGTGAAAGAAAGTTAAGATGATATCAGACCTGGGTAATCAGGAGGATGGTGGTGCTCTTGACGATAAAAGAAAGGGAATTAGGAAGAGAGGAGGGTTTGGGAAGAAAGATGATGATGTCTATTTTGGCCATGTTGAGTTTGAGTTATCGATGGGAAAGGAGGTTTGAGATGCCTAATAATCAGTTGGACATAAAGGACTGTATGTCAGAAGCTAGATTTGTGCTGAAAAAAGAGATCTGAGATTCAGCTATGTAGAGATAATTAAATCCAGGGAGCTGATGAGATCACCAAGTGAAATAGCATGGAGGGAGAAGAGAAGAAGACCCAGGAAGGAGTTTTGGAGAACAGCCACGGTTAACAGTTTTGACCTAGATGAAGATCCAGTAAAGGGGACTGAGAAGGTATAGTCAGAGAGGTTGGGGAGGAGCAGGACAGGGCACCTAAACTAAATTCTCTACAAAGTAAATTCCCAGAATATCATCAAAGGAGAGATCACTGAGAGAAGAAGTTTATCTTTTATCTTTGATAGCTTATTATTTATATTGACAGTTGTTGCCAACTTGAGTTGCATTTCCACGTTGAATTTATTTACATTGAATTAACTTTTTAAAAAATTATCTTTTCCCCTCCACCTCTTTTCTTTAACACCTTCTGCACACAATAAATAGGAATTACTCTATTGTTATCTTCATAAACCAAGTTGCTAATACAGCGTTTGGCATGTAGTAGACACTAATAAATAACTTGTTGATGGAAGTAGAATGCCCGAGTGGATAGAATCTTGGACTTGGAGTTAGTAAAATCTGGATTCAAACTCTGCCTCTAACATTTACTAGCTTTGTGGCCTTGGACACGACACTTAACCTTTGCAGGTCTCAGTTTCCTACCTATAAAAGGATGGAGGGGGTTGTATTAGAAGGCCTATAAGGTCCTTTCAAGCTCTATGGCCCTATGATCGATTGAAGAGGGTGACATTCTGAGGCAGATATTTAGAAAACAGATATAAAAAAAGGTGCGAATTTTATTGATATCTTCTGTGTTGATATCACCTTCATTGTCTAATGCATCCTTCCCCCTTCTCTTACTCAACCAGTCATCCCTTGGAACATTAAAAAGAAAGAGAAAAAATCATTTAGCAAAACCAACCTATTGTTTTTGATAGTGTGTTCAATATCCCACA